AAAATTCAGAGCCTGGTGATAGGTGGAGTTCATAACGCTTACTGGTCAAAGAGACTCTTTGTTCGCGTCTTGACGAGCTTAGCCTCCGCCTTTATGTCGCGCTCAGTAGGGATCACGGACGCTTTCGAGGATCCTGCAACAGCGGCGAGCGCCGTCTGCTGCACCGGAGCCGGGGTGATCTTCTGCTTTTTCGTGGCACGCAGCTCGTTTTCGAGCTGTGCATCACGGTTCAAATGTTTGCATCCTAACACGCAGCAGCGGGCGCACCTGAAGAATCCTGAGTCTCATCGCCTCTATAGCTTCCTCGGATGGCGGGTACGGTATCGGCTTCGAATAGTCGATATTGATGCCTGCGTGTTAGTTCAGCGTCGGTCGCGGGGCATGCCACGCGCTTGGACGCACCGTCGCTGTTACGGGCGCGCTTTCCAAGCATTTTGGGAGGGGGCGATGGGATGAAGGTCGCCATGGTCGCTAGAGATGATGATGTGCGCAGGATTTAGAGGCGATCAACGCGACTGCCGAGCGAGAACCGTGACTACTGTGACTGGTCGTGTCTGCCGTCACACACTTCGTGGAGGACTACTAGTACCTCAAACGAATCTGGGACTACAGCTGACAATGTTTGCAGATTATATCATGTAAACTGTGCACGAGTCCTTGGCAGAATACAGGTACCCAGGGTTCACGCTGCACATCTTGCTTTGCGTACACCACTAGTACTCTTTGGCAACATCACAGGCAAGTCCGTCCTACATCCCCCTTCTCGTCTATACAGCCTCTATGGAACATGCATTGCAGGTTATGGAAACTTACATTGGCGACAGAATCAGATTTGATTTGTGCATATTTTCTCTAGCGATGGAGGATGCCTAGCCCTTGAGTCTATAGCATTACCCCTCCAGAGCAGTACTTATACCGTCCTTATCGCCCGCCTTTGACATCGCCTGCGAGTAGCATTCTTCGACTATCAAGGTACAGGCCTGTGAGCTTGACATCTCATGGCGACGATGTGCCGACCGACGCTGCATATGAAGCTGTCCTGGACAAGGCCCCTGCAAGAAACCCTGGCTATCCGCTTGGGGAGTCGCGCCCGGCTCCTCACCTGATGCGTGCGCAACTACCTCCCGAGCGAAGATGCACAGTTCAAGGGCGCACTAGTCGCCACCGAGAACCCCGCATCGTCACTAATGAGGAATGCCGATGGCACAATTAGCTTAGATGGGACACTATATGGCCTGACGGTCACGATTATTGCCGTGAGTTCGTTACGCTATTTGCCACTATAGTGCCTGATCTAAACGTGCGAGGACAAACAAGATTGGTGGGCTATGCTACTCCCATCATTGGTGTATTTGCCCTAAGGCTCGCAGCGGCCTGGATACGTGCTCAAGAAGAGCGCCGTGTCGGAGTAATGCCGACGGCTGCACAGTACGGGCTACCGATGAATCTATTCTCCTCTCCGTCTATCGCATCTCTATCTGGCGTCGGGAAGTACCTTCATGCAAAGCGTGGACGAGCAGTGCGGACGATGCCGATGCTGTCGCTTGCGCTTATTGTTGTCTTTCTGATGCTCCTCCGACTCATGAGCAATCTACTTGGGTACGCTTTCGGGCTTCCTTATTGGCTATACTTGAACGCACGAGTGACCTCTAGTATCGTGGACATCTGGTTACACAGTACCTGCAGAGTGTTTATACATATGAAAATTAGCGACATCACCGCCGACAATCTACCTGCTCTTGCATCTCAGATCAACCTCACTACTTGTCCAGGCCACTGCTTTTGAATCAGGTCTACCTCACGGGATCTGACACAAATTATATCAACGGTGCACACAACTCCGATGAATCCGGTCGCAGACCTGTACAGGAACGGGGCGGTGCAGATCTCCTCAACGGAGGACAAGCGACAGTGCGGAGCCAGGGAGCCCATGTTCCGCTCCGTCATGATCGATCTCCGCTTCCTACCCACTTTCGAACCTATGCATCTCTGCAGGGTGCCAGTCTCACCGACTGCAATTATCCTCTGGATGATCTCTATATTTGGCCCAACTTCAACCCCCCATCTGGATGAATTTCGCTGGGGACGTCTCTTTCAGTGTGCAGCCGTACAACCTATCTGGTAATATCATTGGCGGCGACGGCGAGAGCAACACCAGCGGCTGGTACGGCTACCTGCTGAACGTTGAACTCCGACCTGAATCCCTATGGTGCACTGATCACTTTTGATTTTGGGCTCATCGAGGGGACTGTGAATATCGGTAACGGGTCT